CATGGGCGACAAATGACGGACGCCACTCTTCTGCAAAAAGTGGTCATGGGAAATGTTACGGTAGAGTTTTCAGATGTAGGTCCGAAGTCCATGACAGATCTTGGCCGCTTAACTGGTTATTGAACTAGATTTAGACAGCACTAGATTATTCAATTTGGACGAGACGGCTTTTCAGACACGAAAAAAGAACAAAAAAAGTTGTGGCAGTTCGGGGATCAAGTAACGTGTGGTGAGCGGCCCCCTTTGTCAACTTCCACCTCTCAATCGTCGCTTGTGGCAGTGCTGCAGATTATGTAGTCCATCCTGCATACATACTTCCAGGAAAGACTGTTCCGTCGGATATATTGCAGGGCTGTGGTATTACGAGCGCAGCGGTAACCACCTCGTCGACCGGATTCATCAACTCCTATTTGTTCAAGAAGTGGCTGGATTTTTTTTCTTCATCAGTGCCAGTTTCAGTCAAGAGGCCACTTTTGTTGGTACTAGATGGCAGTAGCTCTCACTACTCGACAGAAGTCATTGAAGCAGCGGCACGTCTTGACGTACTGCTTGTGTGAGGATGGCGTGTCGTGCTCTGCCAGACTGCAGCAGCTCTGTTGAACTTGCTTGTTGCCGCTGACGTATACGTATACCCGACTACTATACGGTCGCTTGTGTATATTGCATGTATAACTGAGAGGGGGTTGTCACCTTTGAGGTTTTCTCCTCCTCAATCCCGTTATTTCCTCGTGGACAAGAAGCCTAGTGTTCTTGCATTCATTGACATCTCTAGTCTCGCTCGCTGTGACTTTTCACTACTGCTGCGCACCTGCCAGCTTGTCCTCCTTCCTCCGAATGCCACTAAGTTGCTACAACCACTTGACGTGGCGGTGTTTGGTACACTCAAGGTGAAGCTGTGCAACCTGATTAAGGAGTTGGTAGAAGAGGATGAAGATGGATGCTACTCAATCAGCAAGCCCACCGCCATCAAATAGGCGAGTATAGCATGGATGACGAGTAACATTGGACGAAACGTGAGAGCTAGGTTCCGCGCCTGTGGAATTTTTCCTCTTTCTCATGTCAATATGAATGCCCGTCTTCTAAACTAACACACGGAATGGAGCTCCAAAACACGTTCATCTAGCCTCGTGGATTCAACTGAAGCCAATCATTCAATCAGACGTTCTCA